TATTCTAATCTAGAGAATAGGACCAGAGTTAATTAGCTTTAAAATTGATTCATTTCACATTTCTGTCCCAATAGACAGCGTTCGACGATGATATGGCAGAGTTTATAAGATTATTGCAAAAATTCTTTTTTAATAATAATATTAATAATAATAAAAATAATTATAATATTCAGGAACATTTGGAAAAAATATTTGAAAAAAAAATTGATCACACAACCACAAACTAACAAGCGAACAGGGCATCAGAATTACAAACAACAGCTATATACAGTACAATGTCCGAGTGGGGCGTCAACATTTGATTGATTGATTGATTGAATGAATGGATGAATGAATGGAAGAATGGATGAATGAATGGATGAACGAACGAACGAATGAATGTATGAATGAATGAATGGATGAATGGATGGATGGATAGATGGATAGATGAATGAATGAAAGAAAGAAGGCGTGAAGAACTAAAGAATAATCAAGTATATATTCATGTATGCAATAAATGCATATACAAACCAACATATATAAATATCTAAAAAAATATATCATAGACATGTTACTTACACACACGCACATACTTACACGCACACATACACACACCACACACACACACACTCCACACACACAAACTTCTATATTCACAAACACATTTTTATACTCAGGAATTAATATAAATGAAACGCCCATTGTAAAGGTACACACATTATATTTATTGAAATATACAAACATACATACATACATACATACATACATACATACATACATGCATGCATACATACATACATACATACATACATGCATACATACATACATACATACATACATACAGAGAAAAATTTTTTTCATTTTACTTTACTCTGTCGATAGCATTAGTTTGATTCGTCGTCAGCTGGCTGGTTGGTTAATTTGGAATCTTTCCTTTTTTTAAAATTATTTTTATTATTAAAATATAATATTAATAATATTGATATCTATAATATTTGTAATAAAAATTATTAGCAATAATAACAATTATCATTGTTCAGTTGTTGTTTTTAAAATGTTTTTCATTCATTCTAAATTGTTCCTGAAAAAAAAATGAAAGCATACGCACACACACACACACACACACACACACACACACACACACACACACACACACACACACACATACATACATACATACATACACACACACACACATAGCGTGTAATAGACAGAGATCTTTTTGAACACGGTCACCACAACAGCAGAAGCAGGCACTTTAACCATTATACCATCGCAATTATCAGTAATGTAATATGAATGACATTACTATTAATACCATTAATAAGTAATTTAATCATTTAAATACTTGATAATTTAATTAATTAATAATTATATCATTAATAATGAAATAATCCTTTCAATACTTAACAATTTAAAGAAATGTAAAGAAACATCAACTGTAATAAAATTTATTTTAAATTTTAATTCAAAGATTAACCATGGCAAGCATTATAAGAAAGATGATTGTTCTCCCGCTTATCGTCGTTTGGCTAAATGCCGGTTAATATTATTATTACACATGTTGCTTATATTACTTTTGATTTAATATTATTATTATTATAATAATATTCATTATTATTATTATTATTGAATTATTATTCATTCATCATCACCATAACCGCCATCATCAAATCAGATCGTAATAGTCACTCTATTAAATTCCGGCTTATAGGGTTATATAATTTTTTTTTTATATAAATTATCATTATTTATATTCGTCATCATCATCATCATCATCATCGTCGTCGTCGTCATCATCATCACCATCATCCAATCAGCTCTCACTTTGGGCCAACGTTGTAAAGTTAACGGGACCACCGAGAAAACTCCGATGGAACAGCTGTCCTCATGTCTCACGCACTATTACGATATTTACGCTAGGTTGGTCTCTCTGTCTGCCTGTCTGTCTGTCTGTCTGTCTGCCTGTCTGCCTGTCTGTCTGTCTGTCTGTCTGCCTGTCTGTCTGCCTGTCTGTCAGCCTGTCTGTCTGCCTGCCTGCCTGTTTGCCTGTCTGTCTCTCTGTCTGCCTACCTGCTTGTCTGTCTGTCTGCTTATCTGACTGTTTGTAGCGTAATAATAACAATAATGATAATAATAAAGAGAATAATGATGATGATGATGACAAACTGCTGCAACTGCAATTACTGTTACTGTTACCACTGCTAATACTAGTACTACTACTGCTACAACAACAACAACAACAACAACAACAACTACTACTACTACTACTACTACTACTACTAACTACTATTATTACTAACCTAACATAACATAACAAAGATTTTTTTATAGTGATCCAAGAAGACTGAGTTTGCGACAAGACAACTCTGAGTCTTTTTTTTAATATCCTACTTTCGCCAAGTTTGCTTTAAAGTTGTGAGCGTTTGCCCTTTTGTAAATCTTGATTCCAAAGCTGAACACACTACTCCAACTTGGGTCGAGCCAATGCTTTATATATAGGTTTAATATGGCGATCATATCTCTGCTTTTTACGGTTCTTTGTATCATACCCATCCGATGAATTATCACTCCTAGGTCCTTTTCTTACCCTACATGTTTTAGTGGCGTGTCTCCGAGTTTGAAACTAGTTTGCCTCGTTGTTCGCTCCCATGTGTATGACTGCACATCTGTTAGTGTTGAACACCATCTGCCAATCCTCTGCCTATTTGCATATTATTTTGCATATCGAATTCTAGAACTTCAATATCTTCATCGTTGTCTACAACAGCAAATTAATTTAGTGTCATCTGCATATTTTTAAATTTTAGACTTTATTCCTAGATCAATACCACTGAAGTATAGTATATTACAAATAGCAAGGGTTTTTATACGGATCCTTTGAGGGAGCCCACTTGTAACATTGCTCCAGTTTGAGAAACTTATCCAATGCCAACTTTTTGCCGTCTATCTAGTAACCAGTTAGAGATCCACTTGGATGTGTTTCATGTCATTCCACTTGTCTCTAATTCTCAGGCCAAACGTTTATGGGGTACCTTATGGAAAGCCTTAGCAAAATTTAAGTACACAATATCCACTGATTTCTTTTTGTCCAAATTTTCATAAACCTTCTCAATAATGTAACTACTCAATGATGTAAATAATAATAATAATAATTTCAGGCCGGTTTTAAAAGTTGAAGATACAGTTGAGGTTAAGATCAACTTCTTATCTGTGGTCATAAGCCAATTGGTACGTAAAATCATAGTAACAAAAATAATGATTATTATTATTATTTTTATTATTATGCTTCTAATCATAATAATAAGAAGTGATAAAACCATTTAGTAATCACCACTTTGTAGCATTCTATCGCTGATGATGAATACGACGATGAAGATGATGATAATGATGATGAAGATGACGATGACGATGATAATGAGGATGATGAAGACGACGATGAAGATGACGATAACGATGATTAACCAAATGATATATATACATCATTAACGCCAGATTGATAAAGACAATTCTATGTCTGCTGACGCTTATATCACCTTCGTAAGTTCAAAATTGCTATGATGATGATGTTGATGAAGATGATGATGAGGATGATGATTATGATTGTGATTATTGTTATTATTATTATTTTCATTATTAATATCACTACTATCTTTTTTTTTCACTTTCTTCTCTCTCTTTTTCTCTTTTTCTCTCTTTCATCTTTCGTTCGCGATGTTTTCTTGTACTCTCACTTTTAATCTATTATCTCTTTTTCACTCTCTTTCTCTCTCTCTCTCTCTTTCTCTCTCTCTCTTTCTCTCTCTCTATCTCTAATTCTATTTCTCTCTCTCTCTATCTTTCTCTCTATCTTCTCTCTCTTTCTCTTTCTCTCACAGGAATGGAATGATGTGCAACTGACTTGGGATCCATCGAAGTACGGCGGAATCAATAAGATCAATCTCCCCTTCTATAAAGTCTGGGAACCTGAAATCATTCTTTATGATAAGTTAGTTGGCTGGTTGATTAATTTGTTGATTGGCTGGTTGATTGGTTGGTTAGTTGGTTGGTTGGTTGGTTAATTGGTTGGTTTTTTGGTTGTTTGTATGGTTTATTGGTTGGTTAATTGATTGATTGGGAGACTGGGAAATTAGCTAGTTGGTTAATTTGGTTATTTTGATTGGTTTGCTGGTTAGATGATTTGGTTGATTTGAATGGCATAACACCATACGACACACACACCACACGATACACACACACGCACACGCACCGTACGCACAACATCACACGCACACACACAAGACTTTTACCAACTAAGCTATCCATCTCTCCAGCTAACCAGTATAAATCGCTTGAAATTTTAAACGTTATAAAAATAAATCAGAATAAATTAAAAACATGAGAAAACAAAAATTTAAAACAACTGATCACTAACTAATTACACACACACACACACACACACACACACACACACACACACACACACACAAATAAATAAAAATAACCAATCACGTGACAAGTCGGGCCGTGACTGGTCAGCTGGTGGACTCGAGACAGGTGAGCGTCTCTAGCGACGGTCGAGTTGAGTGGACTCCACAGTTGAGGATGGAGGTCTACTGCACCAGTAACTATCGGTAGGTTATGATAATGATGGTGGGTGGTCGTGGTGGTGGTGATGATGAGGTGGTGGTTATGATGAGGATGGTGATGATGGTGGTGGGGTGATGGTGATGATGGTGGTGGAGTGATGGTGATGATGGTGGCTGTGGTGGTGATGGGTGAGGGTTAGCGCCATCATCACCATCATCGTCGTCATCACCAGGGCCTTCCCGTACGATGAACAAGTTTGTCAGTTCTTTTTCATGTCGCACCTTTATGAGAGGTCGTACGTGAAGCTACTGCTACAGGGCAAGGAGGAACCCATGAGTAGGGACGCCTGTACCTCCGTGCACAATGAGTGGGAGGTCATCAGGTGCACCCCCTACATCGAGGTTGTGATAATGATCGTGATTGATGACGGGGATGATGATGACGATGAAGATGATGGTGAAGATGATGATGATGATGATGAGGATGATGATGATGGTGAAGATGATGATGATGATGATGAGGATGATGGTGATGGTGAAGATGAAGATGATGACGACACCATTGCGACGATGATGACGGCAATTATGGTGATGGCGGTGAAGACGATGATGATGACATTAATAATAATAATAATAATAGTAATAATAATAACAACAACAACAACAATAACAATAATAATAATAATGAATAATTTTTATTTTTCCCGCCACTTCTCAAGACGATGGTCTACACGCACGGCAACGAACACGACTGGCTCGGTCTCATTGTTTCAGTCAGGCGGAAGTCAGTTTTATTATTACTACTATTTATTATTATTTATTATTATTATTATTATTTATTATTATTATAATAATGATGATGGGGATGACGATGATAGTGATGACGGAGGTGGTAGGGCCGGGAGGAAGTTGGAAATTTTCTTCCGACAATTTCAAATCCCGCCAATCTTTCCGCAAGTCCTTAATCATCTTAACCATTTCCGGTTATTTTTGTGTGTGTGTCGGCCACAGATATGTGTACCATGTGTACGTGTTGATCGTTCCAACAGTCATCATCGTCTTCCTCATCCTCTCCATCTTCTGGATTCCGCACTACAGCAACCAGAGATTTTCATTTGGTTATTATCATTATCATTATCATTGTTGTTGTTATTATTATTGTTATTATTATTATTGTTGTTGTTGTTGTTTTTATTATTATTGTTGTTGTTGGTGTTGTTGTTGTTGTTGTTATTACCATCATTTGATTATTATTATTATTATTATTTAGCGATATCATACTCAATTAGTAGATGAAGAAAAAGAAAATAATATGAAATAATAAATAATAATAAATAATAATAATAATTATTATTATTATTATTAGCCGGGGGGATGCTTTTTGTGCTACTGCTGATGAATTTCTTGGTGCAAGAATTTCTACCAGTTGGTTTGGGCAACGTACCTAGAGTCGGTGAGTTCATTATAATTATAATAATTATTATTATTGTTATTATTATTATTAACTTTATTGCAATTCTATGTTAATCATGAAATTTTATTGGTTACGCCAAAATAATAAGAATGATTGAACCCCAATTGAACAATTAAACCGGGCCCCCTCTAAAATGTTCTCACTCACAGTGACGAGAATTTTAGATTAATAGGATTTTATAATCATTTCGTTATTGGTATTTGGAGTTAGGAAATTAAAAGATGTTTTCATTATCGTTAAAACAGTGTCATACACACTGTACGCTCTCCTCCTTCTCTCTCTCACCACCATCCTCTCCCTGGCCACTCACTATCTCTACTTCACCGATCCGAAGCACAAGCCCGTTCCAGAATTCTTGAAAACCGTTAGTGATTGAAAATTTTATAATTAATTTATTATAATTATATTAGTATTAATAATAATAATAATTATTATTAATAAATTATAAATTATAATTATAAAGATACACTAAATTTTATACTACGCAGCAAGCACGCACAAACACACACTTAGACACTCATACACACGCACACGCCCGCACACGCACGCACGCACACACACACACACACATATACCTCGTGTCCATCTGTATTAGATTTTCTTTCGTGACGTCATCGCCATGATAACTGGAGTGAGTGCTGACGTCATCATCGCCAGCGATCCAATCAGCAGCTCCTTCGACAACAAATCCTGGGCAACCGCCAACAAATCAACGAGCTTGATTGCCGAGCAAAACGGAACCGGAAACGAGGTTAGCGGAGTTACCGAAAAACTCCTAGAAGAAATTCACAAAAACCTGGACGCACTCACTTCCGGCCAGAAGTCACGTGTCCTGGATAATGAATGGAAGCAGTTATCTATGATCTTTGATCGTCTACTCTTTTACTTCTTCCTGTTGGTTAACATTGTGGTCACGTCTGTTTTGTACGGTCAGAGTTTTGCCAGAAATGATGTCGATGATGTCAAGGCCTTGAATAAATTCTTCGAAGATTACGATAATTATTGATACTGTCGCTGTTGATATCATTCTATTGTTGATATCATATCATCACAATTGATACTAGTGACTATTAAAATAATTAATAAAACGATTACTATTATTACGACCAATACTACTACCTATGTTGCGTTGCTGGAGCTACTGCTGCTACTAACGTTACTAGCATTAATACTACTACTACTACTGCTACCACCACCACCACTACAACTACTACTACTACTACTACTACTACTACTACTACTACTACTACTGCTGCTGCTGCTGCTGCTGCTGCTGCTTCTACTACTAATCTTACTACAACTACCACTACAACTACTACTATAAAACAACAATTACTACTGCTATCTTTAACATTGATTATAAATTACTATCAGTAACGCTAGTGTCAGTATTTCAAATGGTAGATTACTAGCTTGTCGCGAACTTACGTAATTAACCCATCAGGTCATATGTATTTATGTATTTATTAATTAATTTAAAGTTTAAAACCAATAAATATTTTTTTAAATAAATCCAAGTGGTCTTTCATTATTTCAAAATAAAAAAAATAAAGCTATATGTGACGTCATTCCCGCCCTCGCCCGCCCTCTGGTATTTATTTGACAATGACGTCATTTCCACTTTTGATTTTTTTCATTATAATATCTGTGACGCCATTTCGTCCTCGCCCTCTAGTAGTAAATTGATGATAACGTCATTTCCGCTTTCGACCATGAAGGAAGCTTACGTATGATAGGAGAGAATGTTATAGTTCGATTTTTGTTTAAGAATCTATGGGTCTTGATATACAAAAGCGAGGAAAAATTATTTGTATTGTGAGTGTGTGTGTGTGTATTGTGTGTATATATATATGTATATATATTTTGGATTTAGGCTATCATAAATACAATTATTTATAAAGATCACTGCGGCATTATTCAACTTGTAGTTGAGTTTCTCAATTTTTCATCAAGATGATAAAAGTCTCGTTAGAAAAATTGAGAAACTCAACTATAAGTTGAATAATGCCGAAAACGCAGTAATCTTTATAAATAATTATATATATATAGTGTGTGTATGTGTGTGTAATAATAATATTAATAATGATAATGTAATAATAATTATAATAATGAATAATAATAAACGTTTAAAAAAATATTAAAAAATTTTGAGACAAAAACCCAACTTCAAAAATATTTTATTCTTACAAGAATTTTCAAAGGGCATATATCATATTAATAAATATAAATATATATATATATATATATATATGTATATATGTAATATATGTGATGAATTTCAACATTACAATGTAATCCTTATATTATTTCATTGTTGAGCCATATTATTTTTGAAAAAGATATTACTATGCAGACGTCATCTGTAA